AGGTATATCCCCGACAATTTATCCACCAAACACCAGACAGAAAAGCACCAGTTCCTGCTCACACGAAGAAACAACTAGTAGCAAGCCACCCAAAAGACTGGCAACGTTTCAAACTATCAAGTGAGTCTCCCTGGTTGGACAGAACTATTGCAAGTTCCAGAAAAAAACATCTAGAAAGGGAATGATAACAGGGTTCACCTGCAGACCAAGCTCCCTTGGACCTTCCGAGGAGGCAGGCACAGCCAAAGGCAGGCACAGCCAAAGGCAGGGAATCGCTCCCCCCATCCACAGAGAGAGAAAGAGAGGAAGCAGCTTCTCAGTCCCACAGAGCCAGACAGAGCGGGTCTGCGTAAATCTACAGGAGACTCAGGAAGAAACGCAAGCATGAAGGGGCGGAACAGGACTGGAAATAGTATTGTTTTGTAGCAAAAGCCGCTGTAACTGCTTTCCTAATAAAGTTGGGACTGTTTTGCCCTGGAACGGGCTTGCATTGGCAGTGATTTGAACGCTTCGGTGTAGTGGGACACCTGGCGCGAAATCATTCCTAACATTCCGGTCAGAGTTGCTTTTGAGGAAGAACGAGACGACAGAATCTCCCTTTTGGGAGTCGGCAGATCAAGTCGAAGCGAAGTCCATTTTGGAAAGAAATGAGCAAAAGTAGATTTGCTCAGGACTGGGAGACTGGAGAAACATTGGTACCAACCAAGGACTGGGGGCATTGGTTTTCACCAATTCGGGATACATCATGTATATTTACACCGAGAGAGCAAACCCGTTCGGCCCTTTACTGCAAAATAATTGGAGCAGCGCTTTGCAAACTTTTACTTCAAAGGACGTCTCCTCTCGTGGGGGTCACTCCAGCGGTGGGGGTGCACGGTTTTGACATTTGGTATCACTCATTCAGGACAGCGACGAGGAGAATGTTCCACTCCGAAGTTTGTGCCAATCTCTGCCTCGAGAGGGCGTCACGGTGGCTCAGTGGGTTAGCACTGCCGCCTTCACAGCGCCAGGGACCTGGGTTCGATCCCGCCCTCGGGCAACTGTCTGTGGGGGAGTCTGTACATCCTCCCCCCGTGTCTGTGTGGGTTTTCTCCGGGTGCTCCAGTTTCCTCCCACAGACGTGCAGGTTAGATGTTTAATTGTCCCAGGGACGTGCAGGTTAGCCACGGGAAGTGCAGGGTTATAGGACTGATGGCAGTGGGTCAGGGTGGTGATACTCTTCGGAGGGTCAGGATGGGCTGAATGGCCTGCTTCCACACAGCAGGGATTCTGTGATTTTGTTTTTTATCCCCGCTAAGCGGTGAAATCCAGGGTTATTGGCAGAAGACCATAAGAGATAGGAGCAGAATTAGGCCATTCAGCCCACCAAGACTGCTCCACCCTTCAATCATGGCTGACGTTGTTCCTCAGTTACAACATGTAAAAGGCATCTGGATGGGTACGTGAGTGGGAAAGATTTAGAGGGATGTGGGCCAAATGCTGGGGATTCAGTCAGATTGGGACGTCTGGTCAGCGCGGGCGATTTGGTCCGTTTCCGTACTGCATGACTCTAAAATCCCGTTTTCTCACCTCCTCCCTGTAAACCCCTTGATCCCCTGACTAAATCAAGAACCGGACTATCTCTCTCTCAAATACACCCCATGACTTGGCCTCCACAGCCCTATACAGCAATGAGTTTCACAGAGTCACCACCCTCTGGCTGAAGAAATTCCTCCTCATCTCAGTCCTAAAAGGGTCGCCCCCTTCACTCTGAGGCTGTGGGAACGTGGAGCTTGAAATACAAGGATCGGGCATGGAATGGGAGGGGGGTGCTACTTCTGTTCCTATTCTGTACGTTCCCAACGTGAGCCCGTTTCGAGGTGGAACATGGACAGGGCAACTGCTCAGTGTGAGATCAGGCAGCATGGCATGGCCTGGGCAGGAGGGGCAAGGCAGCGGCAAAATGTTTAGCCTGTCGATATTTTTCCCTTTCCCTTTCTAAGAACGAGCACGCCCTCTGACGGTTTCTTTTCAGAGCAGGGTCCCAACTAAAAGACCCACCACATCCATCAAGGAACCCCGAGCATTATTCATTCACAGGATGAGGGTATCACTGGCTCGGTAGCATTTATTGCCCATCCCTAATTGCCCAGAGGGCAGTAAAGAGTCAACCACATTGCTGTGGATCTGGAGTCACATGGAGGCCAGACCAGGTAAGGATGGCAGTTTCCTTTCCTAAAGGGCATTAGTGAACCAGATGGGTTTTTCCCGACAATCGACAATAGATTCACGGTCATCATTAGATTCTTAATCTCAGATATTTTATTGAATCCACCATCTGCCATGGCGGGATTCGAACCCCGGGTCCCCAGAACATTATCTGGGTCTCTTAATAGTCCAGCGATAATACCACTAGGCCATCGTCACTCCCTGCACACCCTGGAGCTCAGAACAAGATAGGAAATGCTTGCAGTGCTTGTTTAAGTAAACGGAAAGGAGAAACATAGAACATAGAACATTACAGCGCAGTACAGGCCCTTCAGCCCTCGATGTTGTGCCGACCTGTGAAACCAATCTGAAGCCCATCTAACCTAAACTATTCCATTATCATCCATATGTTTATCCAATGACCATTTAAATGCCCTTAAAGTGGGCGAGTCTACTATTTTTGCAGGCAGGACATTCCACGCCCTTACTACTCTCTGAGTAAAGAACCTACATCTGACATCTGTCCTATATCTATCACCCCTCAATTTAAAGCTATGTCCCCTCGTGCGAGCCATCACCGCCCGAGGAAAAAGGCTCCCACTGTCCACCCTATCAAATCCTCTGCAGAAATCTACAAGCTCAGACCAAAGGGGACTTCCCTTTAAAACTTAAAGCATTTCTTGGAACGGAGATGAGGAGAAATTTCTCTTTTTTAACCCCCCAAATGTTTGCAATTTTCTACCCTACTGCATTAAGGGTACTCAGGAGAGAGAATATATAAGATATGACACCAAAGCCAGTGGTATGGTGAACAAGCTTATCTAAGGTTACAAAGGGATCTTGATCAATTGGGTCAATGGGCTGAGGAAGCAGATGGGGTTTAATTTGGATAAATGCGAGGTATTGCATTTTGGCAAAACAAACCAGGGCAGGACCTATACAATTAAAAGTAGAGCCTTGGGTGGTGTTGTAGAATAGAGGTGCCTAGGGGCTCAGGTACATAATTCTTGGAAGCTTGCGCAGACAGGGTGGTGAAAAAGACCAATACCAATACACACGAGCCCAGTTGCTCCATTCCCTCCCTGATACAGACCCACTCCCTCCACAGCATCCAACAGATGTAATGCCTACAGTCTTCTCTACCCTGTGCATCCATGTTCAGCCTTTCCCTTTCATTCTCCGGCCCAACTCTGCACCTTCCCCTCTCCACCACCACTATCCTGGCCTTCCTTTGCCAACACTGTGTGTGTGTCTGTCTCTCTCTGTCTTTCCTCCTCTGACTTCTCCACAGACCAGTCTAAAAGCAGTCTGGAAATTCCCCCCTCCCATCTCCACTTCTTCCATCTTTCACTCTCTTTGGCCCTCACCTCCCTCAGTCCGTCCACCTCCCAACCCCACCCTAACACTCGACATCCACTCTCAATCCTCCTCCCAGCCCTCGTTCACTCAGCACTCCCCCACACTTCCCCTTCCCTCCTCACACACACATACACCCCAACACATTCCCTCATCCCTCACTGACCAACCCCACCCTCTCCCCTCCTCACTCCCCTTCCTTCAATCCCAACCAAAACTGTCCCCGACCCCAACACTCCCCCAGCCCTGATCCATACCCCGTCCCTTCCCCATTTCCGCTCCCCTCCCCATTCTCTCACCCGACCTCCACCCCGACAGTCTATCCACCTTCAACCCCCACCCAACCTGTATCCCCTCACATCACCCCATCCCCTCACAGCACGTCCCCTCCCCCCCTACACCAACCCCCCCCCTAGGGAGGGGTCAATGCCCCCCCCCCCCCCCCCCCCCCCCCCCCCCCCACC